GAGTTGCCAAGGTGAGTAGATCTCCTGGTATCTCAGAGTATCACATTTCTTTTGTCTGTCGCTCCCACAAATTTGGTTTTTTCAAAACAAATTTTTGTTTGAATCGAGAGTTTTGAAATCCAGGTTACGAGCTAATTTGGATATGACGCTGCGTGATAGCCCCATAGCTGTGCTCGATGGTGGTCCTCCTGGAGTTGACCTAAAACTGCATAATTCAGGTTTGTTTGTTGCCCACCTTCTTAGGTAATATCCTTTTTCCCCTGTGATCTCAAAATTTGCTTCGTCTTCGTCTTGTATGTTATAAGAGAGTTTTTTTGCAGTTGTTAGAGTTAATTTTTGATGGGAATGTACGCAAGCTGTTATCATTATTTGCTTCTGTTTACAATTTTATCTCGTTCAGATGAACTTCATCAGTTGCCTATTTCACAAATGGGTAATTACGAAGAATACATCAAGGGTCTAGCTGCAGTCGGTAAAGGTCCGCTTCGGCCGGTTGAACCAACGCCGGTTCGTACGCATGCGTTTGGAAATCCCTTCAAAACTGATAAGAAGAGTTTGGCAATCGATGAGGTTTGATTTGGAGTTGCATGAAGTCGTGATTTTTCAGAGCATTCATTCAATTTTTCAGGTTGGCGAAGGCATGGTTGGAGCGAATGCGGCGGTGCCAACTGCTAAAGAAACCCGTAGGGAACGCAAGGGCACTGAAGGCATTGGTCGACCGCCTAAGCGGAAACCTGGCCCAGTGGCGCCAAATTGTCTGCAGCAGTGGAGGTTGTAAACTTTTTATTAAAGTTTTCTCAATCCTTTACTTGAGTTTTGAGGTCTTATCATATTATACTGCTGTGTATTAACAGAGAGAGGCGGCGAACTATCAGTGAGAGGTCGTCAGTGGTGTCGGACATGTCTTACACATCAGATTTGGACATTGACATACCCAGCACAAGCGATGGAGTGCTAGAAGAAAAACCCGAGATCGAGATGACAAACGGAGTCGACGCTACAACTCTGGTTCGCAATTCAAGATTTGAGAAATCCTGCATGCCATTTCATCATTTTTTT